AATATTAGTGGCAAGGGTGCAAGGGGGCCATGAGGGGGGTGCCATTAAACCTTATAAGTGTAGTGAGTATTGGGATCATGAAAGTAAAAATATTGATTCAATTTTAAACTTAAATCATTTCTGAATTAAGCTATTTTCCCATTATATCACCAACATTTTTAATAAAAACAAACCTCTTTAATCAACACAGACTAAATTAAGAAATCAACAAATATTTTTCCAGTTTTGTTGTCAATACATTTCATTTTATACTTTCAGTACATAGAGTAACAACAATATTAGGTTATACTTTTGTTGCTAAGCAACAAGACATAAATAACACTGTCGCAACATAGCGTTACCAAAATTCACTGGCTTTTCTATATACTAGAAGTTGTTAATCTAACTGATTTTTACCAATAATTATTCTTTAAATACACCACAAATTCATTTCATGAATGATCTTAATTTTGATTGGCTCACAAAGGAATTTACCGACGTTTGACTGCCTTTTTCAGCCTCTTTGTTGGTCTTGACTGGTTTCACAAAATTTATTTATTTCAGTTAGCTATGAAATGTGAGGTTAGGGTAGTAATACTTACCCTGTCATTTTTGACAGGTTATACAAGCTAGTCTATGAATAAAGTCTGATACATATAAAACAAAAAATGTAAATGTAATCATAAGTGAAAGAAATAACATATGTTTATATTAAATTAATTACATTATTTATTGAGTCAAATTTTAGTTTTCATCAATGTAGGTAGCATGCTTTGATAATAAGTTATTGATAAGTAAATTAAAACTGATATCTTAAGAATCTTACTTAATTTTCACTAGTCCTTCTGGAAGCACAAGCTCTAGAGCCTGAAGAAAATGAGGTACTAACACCATAACACCATCCAAATCTTGTCTCAAAAGATCACAGGAGTTCATGAGAATGCTAGACATTACTTGACCTCGGGAAACCTAGGTATGTAAACATGTTTGGATAAAAACACATTCCAGGGAATGATATTTTTATAAAAATTAGAGCTTCAGTTAACTTGATTTTTTGACAATATTGTGTTTATAGAAGTAAAATTACTAATCATTACCAAAAATTTCTCCTAATATGTAGAGAATGTTGCCAAAATTAACCTGAAAAGTTATCAGCACAATTTCCTTGTGCTGACCGTTCACTAATTTTTTAAAAGAAAGATGATGTAACTTGTCTTATCTTTCTATTCGCAGTACTTGACTAATTATATTCAATAAGAACTCAACATAAAGTTAATATTATAACATACTTCCACATACACAAACTTAACACTGTAAAAAATGTGTGAACCTTACCAATAATAATCTCCCAAATGTACACATAATTTACACTTATCAATTTACACATATAATCACTTTAATGCTAGTGTGTGCATAAACTAACATACTAACACACATACATGTAAATGCTGTCATAAAATTCATCATTGTAATAAACTTAAAACTATAATAAAGTTCTACTTGTATGTGAACTTAAAATTATAATGAACTCAAACATGAAATTAAAGCTATTAAAGTAAGTAAAATGGAAGGCTTTAAGGTTACACTATTTACCAACTAGTTAGAGAGATGCATATATTATCCAAATATATGGAAACTACTTCAAAAAAAACTTCTAATAATTATGAAAAACAAAATATTACTCAGTATTTACTATGGAAACTGCTTGTTATGTACATAATCATCCCACAGATAAAGCTGCTAGTAATTGTGTTTCTGTCTGTAGAAATTGTATTTCCATCTGTAAAAATATTACATCACAACTATATGTATAAAAAGCAAGGGTTTACTTTCAAAAGCCAATTTGCAAGCTATCTTTTTTTGAGTGTGTGTTTTGACTGACTTATTATTGTACTATCTTATATCATTTTGTGACACTTATGTGGATTGTAGATAAGTATAAGATAAGAAGAATGCATTAAGAAATATTTCCTGGTCAAGAAGATATTCAGAGCAATTCCTAGGGCCAGAAGATGCTAGACAGAGAAGTAAATTAAGATTAGGGTATACCTGAATGTAACAATGCATTATATATTGTTGTGAGTTCATACATGAATATTTACACTGAAATAAGTAAAAAAAGGGTTAAATAAAGGTAGGGGGGGGGGCTTTATTAGCTACTGAGATCCAGTCCCATAACAGAGAAACTGTATCAATAAAATAACTATATATATTAAACCTCCATCTGCTATGAAGTAATGAGACATTTGATTGAATCTGTTGGGAATGGTTCATTGGCATGGGTACCCGCAGAAAGAGGCAAGGGGGTCAAGTGCCCCCCCCCTGGATTTTCAAAAAAGAAAAGAAAAATACTAGTTACTTGACCTCCCCTAATTTTTTTTTCTGCGGATGTCCTTGTTCATTGGTATTAGGTGGGTGTGCTTTCAACCAAATGAAATGTCAATGATTATTTCAATACCATGACTACATTTCAATATCTAACTCTTGGTATTGGCAAATTGGAGTATTATTACTAGTTCAAGCAAGCTTCATTTGGCAGTATCTTGCTATTTGTGCAAATTTCCAAGTTTGTTATTATATTACAGATCCGAGTTTCTTTATGTGCTATATCAAGGGTGAAATTATAAAAAAAAAGTAGAGCTACTCAGCAGAGTGATGTGGACCTGTTTTTTGAAATATATACATGTAAACATAAAAAATGACAAAGCAGCTCAAATAAGCCTTGGTATTAGTAATGTCTTAAAAAATAAGTTTCGGTACTCAGTACCAGTAAGTACCGGCAGAATTTCACCCCTGGCTATATCACTGGCAAAACCTACTCCAACACACCGTGCATTATTCATAGTATTTTTGTCTTGCTGTGCAGTGCTATCCTGCTTCTTTCACACTCTTTAAAGAGCTCATTATTATGTGGGAGGTTAGGCTTGATAAACAGAATTTAAAAAAATTTGGATGACAATGGTTCTAATAATAAACAATGAACATGTATAAAAGAATGATACTCTGATACACTACTGGTATCAACAACAATACAAGCAGAGAGCCAGTAAGAAATTAATAATAATAATATTTAAATATATCAACTACACAGAAACTGGGTACAATTTCAACCTCCAAGAACCATCACACAGAGGTGGAGCTCATGATTGGATGATTGAACACCATCTACACCAGAAGAACCCCACTGTTTAACTCTCAACTGAATGGAAGCAATCACATTCAGGATAACTCCTCCATGGTCTACCACCCAAGTGGGTTGGAAATGGAAAGTGGCAAGTACTCCCATGTCCACTAAAAAAACAAGGGGGAACAATATGTGGTGGAGAGTCTGGAGGATTGCCAACACTGGAGACAATGCAATGAGTGACCATGAAAAATCCTATTTTGAAAAGCAGACCACCCCTGATTTATTCAATCGAAGGGATGGCAGGGATGGGCGGCTATCCCCTTCTGCTTTACCCATGTAAGTCCATGGGTTAGATCAGTCCGGAACTGGCATATTTATGAAGCAAATATATTGTGAGGAAAAACCTACTGCAATATTGTGGAACACCCCATCTCAACAGTGTTGGCAAATATATCAGACCAATGACACCCAGACTAAAAGGAATAGGAATAAGTTTGAATAGATAGGTGAAAAATAGCAGGATCCTAATCCTAAATGGGACATGCCAATGGAGGAAAAATATATATATAAAAAATAACTTACCTAGTCACAGCTGCACTGAAGTTTGAAGGATGGTGATAGGCTGATACCCCGATGAGGAAGAAACAGCTAC